CAGATTATAACAGTAATTCATGTCGGCCTTGGCCTTCGTTTTGTACATAATTTTCATACGTTGTTCAATTCAAGTGTCTTGTAGCACATATAATATTATTTTTCGACGTCGCGTCGTTAAGAAAATGTGTGGCAAAACATATCTCCACACGATTCCGGACGTCCGTGTCGAGTACAATATAACAGCAACAACAACGCTTATGTACATTATTATATTGTAAACCACAGCTATTGTTGTTGGCAAACTTATTTCCCAAGTCGGATAACTTAATAATATTATAAAAAATACATTTATAAGTATGTGTACACATCAACACGAATACACGAGTTCCTCGACAAACATACAAACAGAGAGCTGGTGTAAATAAATTCGGGACGTGTAACCCCTCCCCTGCCCTCGAGCTTTCTCGCCACTGCGTGGGTATTTTTATTAATGTAAAGCTTTTAAAAGTGGCTTGTCCCCCCCCCGCTCTCTCTCTCTCACACACATACACACACACGCGACGGGATTTATATTTCCAGCTGTTATCTACCCATACAGAGCCCGCCCGTGTATATTATATCCGGACAGGGATATAGTGCGGTGTATATCCATTGGCAATGGCGGCATCACCCCCCGAGACGGTCCCGGTATATTATATAAGGGTTGATGGCTTCGCAGGCGGCTTTTCGTGGATCCCGCGATAGGAGAGGGTGAATAGGCTACCCACACACTCTTAAGTATTGCGCGCAGGGGGGACGGGGGGCGCGGGCGTCATCCTTTTCTTGAATAGACCGCCGCCAGGCTCCGTCTTGTAGATTTTCTCTTTTATTGACCTCCCGTCCCCCCCTCCCTCGCCACGCGTAAGTGTGCAAGTGTGTGTTCGGTATATAATATATAATGTATATACCGCGAAGACATCTAAAAGGGTCGTCCGCCTTTTTTTTTCTCCATTTTTTTTTTGCCCCCCAGAAAAATATGCGGAAGACCGTGCGGAAACCGACCGGGGAGGCCCTCGATGGGGGAGGGGGGGTTATATATGATTTATGGTCATCTGCGGTAATAGTCGTTAGGCGGCGGCGGCGGCGGCAGTTGCCCTCGGTCAATATGGGAGTCGTACGATAAGAGAGGAGAAGAACGCCTTGCGAGCGAGATAGACCGGATTGTGTGTGTGTGTGGATGTGTTTTTTATGACTATATATACAAGATCCGTTGGTACATGTATATATTTTTTTTTCACCCCGCCGACCCTAGAAGACAATAAAAATCCTGGTCCGCGTTTCTTCTTATTTCCCTGTTTTACGACGCTTTTTTGATTTTTGCATTTTTTTCCCTTCTTTTGCCTTTATTTACAATAATAACGATACGCTAAAACAACGCCTTAATACACCGTCCGCGGTATATACATACATAAATGTATGTACATGTATAACGCGGCTTATATAATAATATAAGGGCCGGGCGAATTATGTTTGTCGGAAATCGCGCGGGCAAAGTTGCGGCAATAATAATAATAATGATGACTATACTACTGTGTCTGTTGTATTTTTTACGACCATTCGGGGACTGCGTTGTTTTCTTCTTGGTTAGAAGTAGTGCAAAAAAAAAAAGCTAAAATTCAACCTAAATAATATATTATTATAATATATACATCGGTTCGGCGAGAGTGAATTTATTATATATTAAAACGGGCGCCCGCGTTATGCGAATAAAAAACACAACGTTTTTCAGACCTCCTTGTAAAACGACGATTTCCCCTTTGGCCTAAACGTTATCCTTAAATACCTTTGTACAACCCTATTTGGCAATATACCGCAATAGAGACAACAGTGGAGGGGGGGGGGGGCGACGCCCATCTGTTGCCGCCAAAACAATCCTAACAAGACTCGACTGTAATATTTCAATAGTATAGCTGTTATCATTGTCAATGTAAATAGTTGTATATCTCTAATATTTTACACCACAAGGGAAAACAAAAAGGTAAAAAAATGACAAAAATCCACACGCATATAAAATATAGTGTTGATATATATAATATACATAAATAGGTAAGGAAGTTTAATAAAAATATTAAGCAGAAGTCAGTTGATAATTAATGCCAATATTTTGTAAAAAAAAAAAATGATAAAAATCCTAAATATAAACTCAGTTTTACATAAGGCCATAAAGAAATGCGATTATTTTTCAATAGCGTTTGATTTCATTAAATATAATTTTTAAGCCCTTACACAATTATTATTGATGAGCAGCAATTATAGATTGTGAATTGTATCATAAATATAAATGAAAGCAACCCTCCCCTTTGCGATTAATAGCATTCTGGGATTAATGGATTTCGTTTTGAACAATATGAAGTATTTTTTCACTCTCTTCGACAAACCAGCCGATACAAAAACAATTGCCAAGTTTTTAATCGTCTGCGGTACGTCGTAACTGCGATCGGACGGTCAATAAAAACGATAAGTAAAGTAAAAAAAAAATTAACGCTCATTTATAAAATACGAGCTATTAAAAAAAATTGGCTATTTGCAGCGCTGCAAGAAAACTTACAACACACATTATAATTATTCAACTGTAGTAATTATTGTTTAATAAAATTCTATTTATATCATGTCCAGAGGAAATCAAAATATTTACAATTAAAACAACAACAATGACAAATTGTTTAGCATAAACTATAAGCATTTATATTTTGATTTAAGATAATATTATGTCAGAATAAATATCTGTAATTTAAAAAAAAAAATTAAAATATATTTATCACATTTTATCATGTAGGTAGGCACTATATTCTAAAAAATTAATGATCAAGACTTTATCTAAACTTTGAAACGAATGATTTACCATTAAACTTTTGAAAAAACCGATCAAGTTCAAATTATAAACAATAGAATCTTCACAATTTAGATGAAGTCTTGATCTTAAATTTTGTATGACGGTACTTGTACGTTAAATTTGCTCATTCGCTCAGACCAGTGTACTTCCTTAGATATTATGTGTTTTTTACAAAAATAGCTAACAACTGCGTTGGATTACAGTTTGAAATAAATTGTATTAAAATATAGCTGTGTAGGTTTCCCGTTGCTACACGAGTACGCTGATTTTAGCTTAACCTCAAGTATAAAAATTTTTTTAAAAAATATCTTTCCTTTACTACTTGCAGTACATACAAAGATGATTTTGGCGTCCTCTCAGAAGGGTGTCGTTTTCATCAAATTTTCCTTTCTTTTAAGTATTATAAACATATGTTGTGGCTAGTTGTAGCAATTATACCTAATTTAACGTGCAGAATGATGACTGGACATCAGTTAATCGCGCACTTAAAACATCAACATCTAAACATGTTATATAATTGAAAAAAAAACAATATAAATATAACACATATCGCTATGACGAAAATTGGATACAATCCAACAGTAAGATGACTAATGCATTACTATAATATACAATCGATAGAGTTTTATTATTATTACATTAAATTGAGTGTATCGCCCAAAGTAATAATTGCTCTAATCGAACATTACACGAATTTAATAATTTAAAAAATAAATAAACACACTGCTAAATAACTTAATTTCATTGTCAACAAAACAAATATAAATATATAATATGCCGAGTGACCAAACGATTAAATCGGCCAAATGGTTTGTTTTAATGTTGTTTTTCGTTTTCTTTGTGAATGGCTCTTCGTATTGAATTATTGATCGTGTTTACCGAAATTAACTATTAAATTGTTCCACGCCATTTCAACGGATTCCACTTGGGACGACCCCAATGGACGACATGACATCGTGTACAACTGGACACGAACACGACCCTTACTATATTATATTCACTTAACTTCAGTAGCGCGTTCACAGTAAAACGTCTTGATGTCAACGAGCCGGGGCGTGTTGTCGAGGAGGAGTTGTGGTCGCATTAAAGTATCTTATGTTGTCGTTGCATACGCCCTCGGTTTCCAGAAAACATCTGAAACGAAGCATCCGTCGAAAATAAAATCATACTTAAGAAAATACCTAATAACTAAGATAGATTGAGACAAAAAAAATCTTACATGTAACCAAACTCAACCGCAAGGTGTGTGATTGCGAGGATTGTCTCGATAATTGTACTTAAATCTCAAAGAGGATGTTTTTTTTAAGACTTTACGTTAAGATGACAATTATTAGTAATAACTATCTGAAGCTAGGAGGAAGGTGTTAGAGCCTGTTTCTAAGTATGCCTTATGCGTTTTGTTGATACAATTATTATGACCCATCCACCGCGTTTGTGTGCTAGACAGTGTTTTTTTTTTAAATGTAATAGTTATAAAAATTCAATATTTCATTATTAATATCATCTTATGGGTGCCGGCTATGAGCTGTGGCCGCCAAACCCCTATTTTCATTGATCTAGAAAATCGGTTAAGTGCGTGACCATATTATAGATCCTTTTTAAAACTAGATTCTAGGTCAACTGTTAACAGTGTAATTATTTTTCGCAGACTTAACCGAATCTGAAAAAAAAAGTAATCTTATCCGTTTTATTCTATAGGAAAAGGGTTAGTCACTATAATCGTCCAAACGGCGTTTGGACAAGGATAAAAACGACAACTGCGTTTAAAAGTATGTAAGTTTTATTTTCAATAATTATATTCTAAATAGGTAATATAATAATATAATATGATAAAGTACACCTACACAGTTTAATATAATAAATGCTTCTCGATAGTACGACTAAAATAATTTCTATATAATAACTAACAGTACTTCGGCCAAATGTAATAAATAATAATAAATTACAAATATTACATCCTTCTGTGTCGTTTTAAATAGTATATAATGAGAACATATGCAAAAAAAAATATGTATTAACATAATTACACGATAGCTTATGAATATAATATAATATGAATTTTAATAATAAATAATAATAATGTTAACATGAAACAAACAGAATAATAATAATAATTTACAAGACAAACGCTAAACAACGACAATTTTCGGTAACAAAAAAAAACGTGTACAAAGTATAATCATATTTTACACAAAACTATAATATACTTCTTACCATCTTATTAATGAAATAGTTAAAGACAACTACAATTTTTATCAAGTAAATGGTTATATATATGTATATTAACACACACTCGTTAAAATTTATACCTATTATCTACGGCTACGCAATAAACACCTCTATAGTATGGTAAATTTTAATCAAGATTGAGTATACAGTGTACATTTCTAATTGTTCATAGAATATTACACAGTTCGCACGAGGTTTCACTACAATGGTAACGCGGATTCTGTACAATATTTATTATTATAATATATTTTTTTGGACTGTTAAAATTATTAAAACGTTATCGTTTGATTTCGGGCCATTTAATTTTAAAATACAACGGATGATACAATATGATTTGGACGAAAGGGGCATTTTAATCTATTTATCGGACCCCATTACAGAATTAAATCCCATCCGCATCCCTCTTTCGGTAGTGGCTACACGGTTAATTATTGCTCGCGTGTGCATTTATATAATATGTATGATTTGTAAGGACATTTGTCATTTTTGTCGCCACCCGACCTACCCCTATTCCGCCACCCCGTCCGACGGTCATCACCCTTGTTTGCGGATTAGAGGGTCAAACGGAGTTTGCAGGCGCGTGCAAAAAATAATAATAAATAAAAAAACATTACCGGCTCGGTTCGAATTTCGATTGTAATTAATTTATATGAAAACCAGAGAACGAATAAAAATTATTGAAAATCCAGCATTTTTATATTATAATTTGCAACTCGAATCGCATCGAATTGCCAAAAAAATTTCACACCTTAATTTAACAAACGGCATTATTTACCTAAACGTGTTATGCAAAGTAGGTAAACGGTATTTTCTTCAATAACAAGATGCGACCGTACACGATATAAGTTCAAAATTGTATGTTAAATCGAATCGATATAAGATAATATAATAAACAAACTACGGGGCAATACTTGATTGTTATTAATGTGTGCGCTTTAAAAAACTACTCCATTTCAGTTGCTACCTAATTGTGGTCATAATAATGTAATGGAAAAGATCAAGAACATAAGAATATAGGTATTATATAATATATTATCTTACAAAACAATAATAAGGTATGGATAATAATACTGTATAAAGATGTGACGACTAGATATGGTGATGATGATGGTGATGCGGACGAAGCGACTGATGATCCTCGCGGTACGAATGGCGTCTTCTACCCGCGGTCGCCTTGCGTCATTTGGCGCCCTGCTGATGATCGTCCTCGTCGTCCAGCCGATCGCCCTCCTTGTCTTGGTGCGCGGTCATGTGTCTGGTCAGGTGATGCCGTTCCCGGAAGCTCTCGTCGCACACCGGACACCGGAGCTTGTCCATGTCCCGTCGCTTCTTGGCGTCCGCCGCGCCGCCCGCAGCGCTGCCGCCGCCGTTTCCGGCTCCGTCTCCCTTGTGGTGCGACCGCATGTGGTACACCAGGTCGGAGGTCATGCGGAAGCTGACGTTGCACTTGGCGCACACGTTTTGCGACGGCAACGTCAAAGCGGCCGCGGCTATGGAGGCGGGCAAAAGCATGGCGGGCAGAGCGGCGGCGGCCCCGAATTGCAGCGGCGACGGCTGTGCCGGATAACCGCCGTTGTCCTTGGGCTGCGGCCGCGGCGGCAACATCATGAACGGCGGCGTCCGGAAGCCCATCGGGAACGGCGTCATAAAATGTGGCTGCGGCAGAGGCGGCGGCAGTGACGGCGGCGGGCTCAGGCTGTCTTGGTGGTATCCCAGTTCGATGGGCGGCGGCGTGACGATGGGCGGCGACGACGACGAAGACGTGGGCGACAGCGCGCCCGGATCTGGCGACACGACTTTGGTGAACGCGGAACGGGCCGGCGAATAGTTGACCGCGGAGGCCACGTGAACGGGCCTTTGTCTGCGCTTGCTGAGATCGTCAGGCGCCATCAGGAACGCTACGTCAAAACTGCGTTTCTGTGGCCTCTGCGGCGGCAAAGACGTCATCTGCAGTTCACTGGGCGAGTACGATGGCGATGACGTCACGGTCCGATGGACGTCCATGGTCATCCTGAACTGATTGAAATCTGCAAAATAACAAATAAATATTAGTAAAGTAGGGTTTGTGTGTTTTTTAATTCAACGTCAAAACGAAAAATAAATGGACGAACATATAATATATCTTTAAGCCCCCTCCTTCCACAAAGTAATAAAAGTGTGTAGAAGTATTTATTAACCTCCAATATAAACATTATAAGGAACTATAGACAAAAACGTTGATTCTTTTCAAACATTATTAAGAGCAGAAACGGCCAACTTGTATTATGCTTATCAGTTTAAGATGTATTTTACGTTTAAAACAATATTATGTTTCAAAAATTACTTTAAAAAAAAATTCATTAAATAATACAGAACGTAGATAACGTAATAACATTTTCTCCTCGATTTTCAGTAATTTCAAAAGCTCTATGTAGTAAAGTCACTCTATACAAACAAACGTATTTTAAAACTAACAACCTAAGTTCTAAATTCAAAAAGGCTTGAGAATTTTATGAATATTTGATGTAAATTTAAACGATAACCAAAAAAATTCAGATTAGCGGGTAATGTAAGGAGCGCTAAAACGCTGCCGCCTTACCCACTCAGCCACACCTCTTCCTTCTCAGTTGTTTTAATGTAATAAACTAATAGCAGTATCGGCCACGTGATGGTGGATTACTGAAAAGTGTCGTGAGGCAATATACAAAGAACAATACGGGTGGTGATGGAAGTGTCGGGTTTAGTTTCTACATGACAAACAGTAATAAAAATAAATGCAACTGTAATTTGTAAGCCCCAGTTAACCATGGACGCGCTGCCGTCTGACTGTGTCAGGAATACAATATATTTAAGTTACAGTGTCTCAGATTTAGATTATTTAATAAAATATATTTGTTTTAATTTAAAGCCGCTGTGGTGGGGAACCGCCATTCTGTAGGCAACGCCGGAACCTGATCGGGTTCTTGGCGTTCCTGGGATTTTTCAATGTCTACGCAATGCGGGTGAACTTAAGCGTGGCCATCGTGGCCATGACTTCGTCCACGGACACTCGAGTGAGTTAGCATTTTTTTAAAGTATTCAAAAATTACATTATTTGTCATCCTTTTGTGGTAGCAGTAGTTAAGTTGTATTCAAGAGAGGTAGTTGTGAAAGTATACAAACACATTTATTAGCAGAGCCTTACTAAGGGAAAGATGGGGCAAATAACCTAGGGTGATTACTCTAGGGGACTTAAAATGTTTAACACGGAACTGTTGCCACTTTCGAATGCGTTTTAATTACCTCCATTCTCAATGTAATATAATAGAATTGGTGATCTTTACGATAAGACTTTTCGATACCAGTACTTATGTACACCATAAGATAGTGCAGCTTTTAAATATATTTCTTGAATGGAATTATGAGACTATATAAAAATAATAATCATTTGTTTATAGATATTAAGATATATTGCGTCTTATGCCGTACGGCTGAACTAATACACATAATAACTGAATACCGATTAAGCAGCATGAAGATGATTCGGCAAGACGTATGTAGTTAAATATCATCATTTAGTATGTTATTAATATACCGTCAGCCCTATTCGCCTTACACTTACTTTAAAATAAAACCATAGGAAGATATTCTAGAAGTACTTTGGAGAATATTTAGTAAAAAATTTCATCATGCTATCGTACTATATGCCATTGACAGAAAAGCGAATTCGACTGGGGACCTGAATTGCGGGGAGCTATACTGAGATCGTTTTTTTGGGTAGCCAATCATACTGTATACCGCATTGTTCATCATCTGAAGTATTTGAATTTTAAATTACTTTTCGCCGCAGTCAGTGTATATAAGTTTTCTGTAGCCGTCTTTCACTGACATTAAAACAATAACAACGAGCTATTGTTATTGTAACAAAAAAAATGTGTTTAATATGAATGGGAACAAACATGAGCGTTGTGGAAACACGACCTTCACGAAAAGCAATAATCATATTTATAGGCAAATTTCTGGATTGAAATATAGTACCTGCTATAGATCCATGAACAGCGCTTTCTTCTAATGAGAAAGGAAGGTAGAAGTCATGTCCAAGGAAATTTTTTTTTAAAATGAATCATCTATAATTATTATAGTATAACTTCTTTCTTGTTTGTAATTGCGCTAATAGTTCTTTATTTGTCATCATATTCTAATAATTTTTGTCATAATATACAACTACTATCATTAGTATAGATAATACTAATAATTCAGCATAATTACAATAACATCATATGTTTAATAAAATACAAATAAGCTGATACAAACACGTACTGAAGAAAATGTTAATTTGTAACTTCACATTACTTTTTTCCTATTGTCAATTTATAATTTTCCTAAATATGATTAATGAGGCAATACACAAAAAAATATAAAGGTGTCGAGTACACACAAGTTTATGAGTGTAATATTTCAATTTCAACACAGCTTCACAAAGCTTCTTCAACAAAGATAATTTCGTTTGGATTAGTTATGTAACACTGTTGCAGTATTTTTATTGTTGTCTTATCGGTTTTTATTTTTTCAAGGTGGTAATTTAGCAGGTATAATTTGAGTAATAGCACTAGATAATTATAATCGTAGTAATGATCGTCTCTACACCACAATCACAAAACAAATCCAATTGTAAACCCAGTCGACCATGAACGCGCTGCCGTCCGAATGTGTCAAGTATAAATTTCACTCGGATTTAAATTCGTTAATACATTTTAATAATTTTTTTTTCACCCCTTCTAGCTACTGCGATGGACAACCGCCATTCTGGAGGCAACGCCGGAACCTGGTCGGATTCATGGCGTTCCTGGGATTTTTCAACATCTACACACTGCGGGTCAACCTAAGCGTGGCTATTGTGGCCATGACTTCGTCCACGGACACTCGAGTGAGTTTGTGTTTTTTTTAAATATTCAGAAATCTTATCGTTAAAACACAGCCTTTAGGCTTAAGTATTCCAACAAATGTTAATAATACTTATAATATTTGCGCTGTTATCAAAAGACATGCGCATTAATAGACTAATTTTAAACCACCAATCAGTTCAACTTAGCATGCCTACTTTAGTAATGGTATGTGCTCTTGCAGAAATTATTGACTCATTGTCAATTTTATACTAAGAGAAGACCGAAATGTAGTTGCAGAGGGTGACAAAAAACTATTACCCTATTTTTTTGCCACTTTCAAACGCATTCTAATGACAACTATTATTCAACTTCTAACTTAGGCCTGACGGTATTTAAGGTATTATGTCGTTATCATATTGGTACTTTTGTATACCAAAATGTGGATTATTAGTTATTTTAACGAACGGTATAGTGTATTTTAATACCGGTAATTTTAACTTAAATACAATCGTACCGAAATACAAAATATTATCGTTAAACTTACTAATTGCAACAAACTAACTTACTTTTTGCAACAAGTATTCAATTAAACAATGACGATAACTAATACCCCGGTATACTATAAAATAGTCTATCCATTGAAATTACCCGAATGGAATATAAGAATATATTAGATTAACCTAACATAACTACTGCACACCCAATTTTATCATGAAATAGTAAATTGTAACATAGGAATACTGTAACATACCAAATATACCGCATGACATTGATCCGGTATAAACTATAACGCATGTTACCGGTATGGTATTAATTATCGTCCTATCAGTATGTCATTAAATAACCATTAGCAAGCATAGGACATCATATTGTAAAAGTATTTTTGAGAATAAATATTTAAAAATGTCATCATGCTATTGTACAATACACCGTTGAGTGTTGACAGAAAAGCGAATTCGACTGGGGACCTGAATTGCGGGGAGCTATTCTGAGTTCGTTTTTTTACGGATACATCACCACACAGCTGGCGGGCGGTCTCTTGGCTTCTAAGTTTGGCGGCGTAAAGACGATCGGATACGGTGCCTTGAACACTGCTTTGCTGACGGTCATCACGCCTATTGTGGCCAGGTATTCGGTTTACGCGGTTCTCGTCCTCAGGGCAGTCGAAGGCATTTTTGAGGTGCGAATAATTGGTCTGACCGGTTGACCTATATCTTGTTAATTGTCATGTTTTCTCATCGCAGGGAGTCACGTACCCGAGTATACATGCCGTGTGGTCCAGGTGGGCTCCACCCGGAGAACGCACCCGGCTCGCATCGTTTGCCTTCTCCGGCGGGTTTGTGGGTACTGTAGTCGCTTATCCGGCTTGTGGTTGGCTGGCCGAGCACTATGGATGGCCTTTCACGTTCTACGTACCAGGTAAAATAATATGAGAACCAACACCGAATAAATAACGACCCTTAACCGATTAATAATTATTGTAGGTGTGGTGGCCATCGTTTGGTGTGCCGTGTGGTTGACCTGCATTTCCGAGAGCCCGGCACAAGATAAATACATAAGCGCGCAAGAACTTAAGTATATAGAAGACGCCATAGGACCAGTCGACAAAAAACAATGTACATGCTGTTTTCATCCGCTACGAAACGAGAATGGAATTATTTTCTGAATATTTTGTATTTTTTTACTTAGCCGAGTTCAAAAACTACCCGTGGAAAAGCATATTGACTTCGATGCCGGTCTGGGCTATTGTGTGTGCGTGCTTCTGCGAATTTTGGGGCTTCTATACACTGCTCACGCAATTACCTAGTTTCATGAACGGTACATACTATTACATAACAGCTGCAATATGCATATACTGATAATAAAATCGACGTGACTGAACTTCGATTGCTTTTCTAGACGTGCTTAAGTTTGATTTGGGCAAAGGAAGTTTTTTTTCTGCCTTACCGTACTTCGTTATGGCCATCACTTTGCAGTTTGCAGGATTTTTTGTCGATTGGCTGAGGAAAAAAAAAATTTTCACCACCACGCAGGTATGACTCCCAACTTAAAGATTGATTTAACGATAATCAGGGGGGATCATGTTATTGATCATCTCATCAAAAAACACCTTTGTGACCGTTTTTTTTTTTTTTTTGTTTATTTCGTAAATTTTCTTATACTGTAACTTTTATTAAACTATTTTCTAAAATTTTACAAAATCCGTATCTTACTGCGGTGTTACAGGTGAGGAAAATATTTAACTGTAGCGGTTTTATGTGCCAATCATTCTTCATGATTTTGGTGGCAAAGTCGACTTCGGCCGTCATGTCGGTCACGTGCCTTACCCTAGCAGTGGGTTTTGGAGCTATCGCATGGACCGCATTTAGGTGAGTCGACTAAAGTTATGTTTGTAATATTATTTTAATATAAGCTCCAACTCGTGTTAACAACTTCAGTTTCCTTATGTTTCGCAGTGTTAACCATTTGGACTTGGCTCCACAGTATGCCAGCGTTCTCATGGGACTGTCCAACACGTTCGCCTCTATACCCGGTATCGTCAGCCCTATGCTAGCCGGCCTCATCGTTCAACACAAGGTAAGCAAGTTTGCATCGCTGCACTACACTGTCGTGTCGGAGAAACTAAATTATTTTGTTTAATGTGTAGAGTGCAGAAGAATGGCAATGGGTGTTTCTGATAGCCAGCGGCATATACATGTTTGGAGCAGTCTTCTACGGATTGTTCGCGTCAGGGGATCTGCAGCCCTGGGCCCGATTGAAAATAGACAAAGACCATGGCAGTGACATAAAGGGCGAAGACAACAATGCGTTTAAAATGTAGACTCAATACGAAGCTACCACACTAATGTATTATTATGTATTCGACGTTTTACGGTTCAAGCTGTTCTGATAGACTTAACGGGATTATGAGTGATCATAATATATTTTCTATCCAAGGCACAGAGATCATAATAACGCTGACTTTGTACAACGTGTAGCACAATAGTTATTAAGACCGTCTGTTTTATTTTTAATAAGTCTTGGAACGCTGTATGTACATAAAAAAAAAATCGCCTCCTAAGAGGTCAAACCGAACGCGAGTATTATCTAATATTGTTATTTGTTCACATGATTAACAATATTAATAAGGTATTTCTCATGTAATAATTATCGTTGTGATTTCGACGCATTATTGTATATTATACATAATATCCTATTATATCATAGTAAACTATTCGTTTTTTTTGGAATGAGACAATAATTTTCGAAAGATGGTGCTAGTCGGATTACGATTATTTTATAAATAATAATTCTTGTCACTGATTTTTCACTATAAAATTGTGAATAATGGAATTAATGGTTTCGAAGTTCGACTAGGTTAGGTTAGGTCATCGTTTCACCGACATGTGAGACTGCATGTCTATTATCTAAGGTCTTTGACTTTTAATTTGTTTTTCGCCGTGGCCTGTATGTAATAGCTATCTTTTCGAAGCCGTCTTTCGCTGACATTAAAAAACAATAGTCACGAGTTATTGTTGTTATAACGCGACAATGTGTTTACTCTGAATGGGAACAAAAAAGAGCGTTGCGGAAACATGACCTTCACGCAAAGCTATAATTATGTTTACAGGCAAATTTCTCGAATAAAATATAGTACCTACGACCAACGCTTTCTACTAATTAGATGGGAAGGTAGTGACTAGTATTCGTGTCCAACAAAATTATTTTTTTAAATTAATGGTCCTATATGTCGTTGAAATTGATGTAGTATTCTGTATTATAATCCATAATTTAGTATTGCTTCTTTCGTGGTTGTTGTTTATTTTTGCGTTAATAATGTGTGACATAATATTATAATTGTTGTCATAATATACAAATACTATCATTAGTATAAATAATACTAATAGTTTAGCATAATTACAATAACATTACATCACATATAAGCTGATACAAATACTAACTGAGCAATTCTGAAATTATATCATTTTTATATGACCATGCAGAGATAAATTTATAACATAGAAAACGTTGATTCACTATTATAATTGCTATACGTAGTTTAAGCGGTATAAAAAATTTACTTGAAACGTTATTGTGGTTTTAAATACATTTGTTTTACTTGCTTACAGATCATTAAGACCGCTTTTTACGGTCTAGACTCGTTGATGTTTATCGAAATAATTGTAAACTTAGTAATTAAAAAGTCCGACGAATTCCTTTTTTTCTTTTTTATATATCAACGCTTAAAATTAAGGTGGTTATAAAGTTTTTAATGAGAAAATTACCGAGAGCTATCAGCTACCGTGACTTGACAATACTTAAAACTTTAATTACCCAACTGGTGCGCTTATTATAATTCTAGTCAATTTAAACGCTGACATAATAATTTATATAAAACATTCGTTTCGTAAATTCTTCTAGAAACGCAATACAGAAAAAATAAAGAAATAAAAATCCCTAGTAAAAACTTTTTTGTTATTAAAAAAAAAAACAAAGTTACTTTGTTACTTTCACATTACTTTTTCCGCATTGGCAACTTCCTGAATAAACAAAGAGCAACTTGTTTAGCTTTAATACCGAAGTGTTTTATTATTAAAATTAAATCTTATATTTATATGGGCTATTGCGGATTTGGTGATTTTTTAACCCAAGATTTCATAAATCTCTATAGTTATACCCCCTTTCAAATTAGTTATTTTTATATCATCTTTTGAAACTTAAATGATAAGATGTATATTTTATTGGTTGACAATTTCTAGTATTATCGTGTTGGGGAATTAAAATAATTACAATATTGTATAAAATACATATTTTTAAAAACACAAACATTCAACGGATCACCAAACCGTGATAAACATTAACTAAAATATGAAAGTTTGTACACATGAAAACTACTTTGTCGATATTGTCAGATGTTTAAGATGTTTTACTTTCGTTATGATATTATGTAGTCATCACTAATCACTCATCGATCCATACGATAAGATCCATACAGCAACGTTGCATGAGAGATAGCTTCAGGTAAAAACGTTCGCAATCGTGTTTCACTTGTTTTTTCAATTATTGAAATATTATTATTTCAATAAAGCTAGAGAATTAATGCATTGTACTGAAACATTGTTCCGTTATCGACTTATCGGTTTTATATTATTAGCAGGTGTTATATGTTAACAATATTATAGGTACCTATATTATATTATAGTATAACAACTGGTATGATTTTTTAATCTTTTTATGATTACTCAAACTAGATGTGAACACTAGTTGAAATTGTTTCGACGTTAATCGATACGGCAAATTAACCGTTAATAACATTGGAAATTCAATTTTAAAACAATCTTAACGTCGTTAAACCCATGTAATATAAGGCAATAAAAATTCATTGACCGACCCTAAAGCTCCCGTACAGAGCACGGTACGTTGAACACCCAGAAACTGGCCACCTGTTGATCCGGATGACGATGCCTATTACGATCGGATAAGTGTTGTTGCTGTGAGCACGTAGTAAGATGGTTATTTTTTTATAACAATCTTGCTACGTAGATTATCGAATCACACGATTCCCATGTACTATAATCGTTTTTGAAGTGCTAAGATTTCTAAACGATACATTAAAACGTTCAATAAAAAAAAACTCCACGCATAAAGGCCGAATAATTCATAATACCAATCCCGTCATGATTTTATAAGTTGCTCATTCACTATTCAAAATGGGTTTTTTGTAAAAGTATGTTAGATTGCCGTTTGAAAAGATAAAGCGCATTTTTTGTAAATAGCTACATACTTTTTCCTTGATTTTCATCAGTTTTGATCGGCGAAACCCAATGAAACTAAAAACCAACGCCAAAAAACAGGTAGCTTAAAATGACAACGCGGTATAAAGTTTGTTCGATAAAATAGCACAAAATAAAATGTCTTCAACCTAACTTTCAAAAAAACAAATATAAACCGAAAATGTCTGCCTTCTTCGATGAAAGATTGAGTTTTGTACTAGATTTTTTAAGGACAGGGCTTTGCAATTTAACCGAGTAAACGGAAGCGGGAAGAACTGAACAGAATCACACAAGTAATGAAATAACTTAAAGAATTTTACGAAACAAATAATTACCAAAAGTGCAATGATCTGCTAGGTCACGGTACAAAGGTAAGAATTCAACTGATTAAGTGTTAACAGTGCCTTGGTCCGTTGCTTAATCGCGGGTCAGGAGATAAACTTGTATACAATTTTATATGACATATCAAAAATGCATTTTGAGAATGTATAAATAATTATTTTGTTAATTATACGTAAGCTGGAAAGATGGAAGTTTTTTTTTTAACTACTCGGTACCTTCAGCGTATGATCAAACTGCAAACATGTCAGCCATGCCAATAATACTGTGGTTTCAAAGAACACACAAACAAATTAGCTGAGGAGCATTATATCTTCTGGACTTTACGGCAAAACAAAACTGAATACAATACATGTGCAAGCATAGGCTATATGTCTGACGGTTAGGCTGCATTGGCGGTCGCATTTAATTGTACAGTCTAGACTAATCCCCGGAACCGGAAGCCATTAAGTATTTTGTTTTTTTAATTAAAAAAATGTAAAACTAATATTGAAACCAAAGTCATGGTGTTTGTATATTACACTAACTATGGGAGAGAAGTGGTGGAGATATATTGGAAGAGAGAGAGAGAAAGAGAATGAAACGTTCTAAACCGGTCGTTATAGCCAACGCGACGGTCTGATCAGTTAACCATGAACTCGCTGCCGTCCGAACGTGTCAGGTATACAAAATATTTAAGTTGAAGTTACTCGGATTTTGTTCGTTAATATATTTTTTTAAATATTCTGCTGTAAACTTCCAGCTGCTGCGATGGGCAACCGCCGTTCTGGAGGCAACGCCGGAACCTGGTTGGTTTCTTGGCGTTCCTGGGATTTTTTAACATCTACACACTGCGGGTGAACCTAAGCGTGGCCATCGTGGCCATGACTTCGTCCACGGACAACCAAGTGAGTTTGTGTTTTTAAAAAAAAAAATCAGAATTCTCATTGTTAATATACAGCATTTGGGCTTAAGTATTCCAATAAAGGCCAAGCCATTAGCGACAAAAACACAATATAACATTTGGTTAGTAATCAATGCAGAATGACCTAGCTCAAGAAGTGAATGCAAGTGAAAACGAAGAGAATGTGATTTTATTGACGAAGTCGATTATATGGTAATCTATATGTATGCCGAATAGTAACAACAGTTACAACCTACACTTATTATACCTACTTAAAAATAGTCATGGTATAGTGTTTGTTTTTAGTTAAAGACGCTAAAAAATAGAATGATGTATTTATTTTGAGTTGAATACACCCAATCTAAGTTTTTGACCAAAACACAACTTATTCTAAAAAAAAAAAATTTCATATCAAATATTTATACTTGAAAATACTACAGAAAATGTTTATACTCGGTTGTTATGATATTTTGGCCATCCTCATCCCATCAGAGGTTATAGCCATCTTGTTGTGAAAATATAGCAGCTTAAGTTGTATTAAATATATGCACTAGTATATGTGTTCGGGTACATATTTTATTAGCAGGATTTTACTAAGAGAGGGATAGGACGTGAATTGTGTACTGATGACGGAGAAAGAGGAGGGCGAGGGTGTAGTTGCCGAAGGCGATAAAAAGCGATTGCCCGAGGGTACTTGTAACGGTTAACATGACACTGTTTATTTGCCACTTTCGAATGCATTATAATTACTTTCATTTTCAATGTTATCAGCCGTAGGCCTGGCGGTATTTACGACACGTCGTTTCCTTATCGGTATTTGTGAACTATTAATTTTTACGACGGACGGTAAAGTAAACTAGTATTCCGGTATACTACAAAATATCAAAAACTGTGTACTGCTGCGACAAATATACCGGAGATACCGAATATTACAGTAAACCATACCAAGTATCATAGGTGTAACCAGTGGCGAAGCGTCATAGGAGACAAAGAGACAATGTCTACCCACTTATAATACGGACAAAAGTTTGTTTTTATTTTATGTGTATAAAAATGTTTTAACCAATTTTAATGTAAAAGTATATTTTTTTGTAATAGTATTCTTAGAATAGAGTAGTTGTGGACGCGGATCAGCGGGCGGTCACGCTGCCGGCCGCCGGGTCTATCCAAATTTAGTATAAAAATAAATGAGACAATTTCAAAATTGTCTCTTTTGCCGGGCGCGGTTATGCAGGGGGAAATGGAAAACGGCGGGGGTTTATCGTTGCGCTATGAGACATGTCTCACCGACCGCCGTTCATATTATTATTGTTTTGGTAGACGGTATCAGTTATCCGTTATCGATGTACGTCGTATCGATTGTCGTTTTGTACGTTTTCAAATATGCCTATGCCATTTAGTTTATTAGTTTTTGAACATTTATTTTTTACAGTATAGATAAAATAAAATATACAGGGGATCCAAGGGGGCGCAGTCCCCCTGTCAAGTCACGTAACACCATTTTTTTTTCAATGTCTTCCCGATCTAAAGACCCATGCTTCGGCACTGGGTGTAACCATTACTCAATTCAACAATAATTGTCAAAATATCCAATTAAGATTATCGATTTGAATACATAAAAATACATGCAAATTATATAAGTAGGAGAAGGCTATTAAAAATAATCTAAGAATTGAGTTATAAGAATAAATGAAAACGTGCCGCGTGTTATGTCATAAAGCTGAATTCATTTTCTGAATACAAAATATGTGTTTGGTATATGCATTTATTTGTAACCTAGCTGGTATACCGTCAAACAAAAAAACCATTAAAAAAACTGAATACCGAAGAAGTCGCATAACTACTCGTATGATTCGGTATAAGATCCGTTACCGGTATGAAATTAAATACCGTGCTTTCAACATGTCATTAAATAACCATCAGCCCTAAGTAAGCAAGCGTAAGACAGCATATTGTAGAAGTATTTTGTAAATATTTATTAAAATGTGCTATCATCGAGCAATAAAAATGCTAACACATCATACCATTGTACTATATGCCTTTGATAGAAAAGCGAATTCGACTGGGGACCTGAACTGCGGGGAGCTATACTGAGTTCGTTTTTTTACGGATACATCACCACACAGCTGGCGGGTGGTCTCATGGCTTCAAAGTTCGGAGGCGTGAGGATGATCGGATACGGCGTTTTGAACACTGCTTTGCTGACGGTCATCACACCCATTGTGGCCAGGTATTCGGTTTACGCGGTTCTCGTACTCAGGGTTGTGGAAGGCTTTTTCGAGGTGCGAATAATCGGTCAATTGCCGGATTGACCTATATCTTATTAATTATCATCTTTTCTCGTTACAGGGAGTCACGTACCCGAGTATACACGCCGTGTGGTCCAGGTGGGCTCCACCCGTGGAACGCACCCGGCTTGGATCGTTTGCCTTCTCCGGCAGTTTCGTTGGCACCGTCGTCGGTTATCCGGCTTGTGGTTGGCTAGCCGAACACTACGGTTGGCCCTCAACGTTCTATGTGCCGGGTAAAATAATATGTGAACCATCACCGAATAAATAACGCTCCTTAACCGACTAATAATTATTGTAGGTGTGGTGGCCATTGTTTGGTGTGCCGTGTGGTTGACCTGCATTTCCGAGAGCCCGGCACAAGATAAATACATAAGCGCGCAAGAGCGTATGTACATCGAAGACGCCATTGGACCGGTCGACAAAAGTCAATGTAAACGCCGCTATAAACAGCTGTTGAAATGATATCTTGATTGTTTTAAATTTGTAATTTTGTAATTTTGTACTTCAGCCGATTTCAAAAACTACCCGTGGAAAAGCATACTGACTTCGATGCCGTTCTGGGCCATAGTGTGCGCCCACTTCTGTGAAAATTGGGGTTTCTATACACTGCTCACGCAATTGCCTAGTTTTATGCACGGTATATATACTATTATATTGTATGAGTGGCGAATGCATAAGACTTTGCCCATAGTATTCTTTGGCCTATGGCAAATAATAATATAATCGGTGTTACTAAAATTCGACCATTTTTCTAGACGTGCTGAAGTTCGAATTGGGCAAAGGAAGCTTGCTCTCGGCCTTGCCATACTTCGTTATGGCCATCACCCTTCAAGTAGCCGGATTTTTCGTCGATTGGCTGAGGAAAAAGAAAGTATTCACCACCACGCAGGTATGATTCCTACCATATAACAAATAAATTGGGGATTTGTTCTAAGTGATAGTATCTACAAAATATAATTTTATCCGTATTAGTTAAATGATTCTTGTGGTAAACTAATATTTCATGGTTTCACAGGTGAGAAAAATATTCAACTGCGGCGCTTTTATAAGTCAAACGTTGTTCATGACTTTGGCGGCGAAATCCACTTCGGCCGCCATGTCGGTCACGTGCTTGACCCTGGCAGTGGGTCTTGGAGCTTTCGCATGGACCGCATTTAGGTGGGTCGACTTAAGTTATATATTTGTATTATTATTTTAATATAAGCTCCAATTCGTGTTAACAACTTCGGTTTTCTTATGTTTCGCAGTGTTAACCATTTGGACGTGGCTCCACAGTATGCCAGCGTTCTCATGGGACTGTCCAACACGGTGGCCACCATACCCGGTATCGTCAGCCCTATGCTGGCCGGACTAATCGTTCAACACAAGGTAAGCAAGTTTGCATCGCTGCACTACACTGTCGTGTCGGAGAAACTAAATTATTTTGTTTAATGTGTAGAGTGCAGAAGAATGGCAATGGGTGTTTCTGATAGCCAGCGGTATGTACATGTTCGGAGCAGTCTTTTACGGATTGTTTGCGTCAGGGGATCTACAGCCTTGGGCCCGTTCGAAAATAGACAAAGACCATGGCAGTGGCACAAAGGGTGAAGACAACAAAGCGTTCAAACTGTAAACTATTTCTGGGACCGAGTTCAATACGATGCTGTTCAGGACCGTCGATTTTGTTTTTAAGTAGTCGAGGAACTTTGTATATTGTACATATAAATTGATCCCCTAAAGGGTCAATCCGAATGCGAGTGCTACATTTCAATATTGTTAACATCATAAAGTGTAACTTATGTATGAACGCGCAGCGGATGTTGGTATGTTACCTGTGATAATGCTCGTTATGATTTCGATGCATTTTATATATTATAATATGTATTTTTCAAAGTGCGAGTAGGATGGCTATTATTATATTGTTAATATGTTTGTATTCAACTCGATAGTAGACGATTTATTTATTATGTGCGATTTGTAGTAATACCAATTTTTCAGCTGCAGCGCACAATTATTAAACTCTTTTCTTAATGTCATTACTACAATATCAAAATGCATACTGATTTTCAATAACAAATAGTACAACCGAATTAAGATTTATGAGTATTATTTTTATTCTTACAATATAAACTATTTTTGATAGCGAAATCCACGTCAAAAACAATCGCGAGTTTTTATTCATTAAAATGATCAAAAAAAATCCAATCCACTAACCTGTATTCATCCACAAGTTGGTCGTTGTCGATTGGCGGCGATCAACGGTTGCAGCGGGAACGGCGACGGGAACGACGACGGAACACTTGTGCCAGTCGACAAAGCCGGCGATACACTCGTACGGTGTTCCCGGTACACGTGCTGCGACCAAGGACCGCGGTATGTATCCTGCGGGACCGGAGGCGGGACTCGGCTGTCGGACGGGACCAATGGGCGGCCGACGCCGACGTCCTGCCCCGCGCATATGCCCTGTATACACCGCCGCCCACCGCGATCACCACAACCGCCTCCCCCGCGGTGCCACGCACACACAAAACAGACCACCGTTTGCCGCACATAGCCCTATATTATTATATTGTATATAACTTAAAATATATTATTATACATGTGTATGGTTTTTTCGTCTAAGTACGTTTTTTTACTCTGACCGCCGGGCAATATAATATATTACACCGAGAGAGAGAGAGAGGCGCAGAAGGCGAAATTAAAAAACAATAAAAAACAAGAACACCCAACGTGCAATGTGGTCTAAAAGTCGAGTGGCCTTATGGTGCGCGTTTTAGAAACGGCCGACGATGCGAAGGGGAACCGAGTCCGAAATGAATACATTTGGCCGAGCACGTATGTCTCTATCGTCGCGCTTTTCACTGTCCTGTTGCCGGTATAATATAAGGCGGCACTCGTCCTCGTATGGAAATTATAATATTACAAATACGAATAAAAATTAAGTTAAACAAAGTCGTACAGTAAACGTTCAGCATTAGTTCCGGTTGTGTATAATATGGCACTATAACGAAATTAGGTCGATTCGTTTCTGTTTTGGAGTTTTTCATCAGCTCTAAGACCATACATAAGCGCAATTCCAAGATAGTATAATATAGTTTTTTTTGCAAAACAATACTTAGTCAGTGATAATAAATTAATTTACAGATAAGAGATAATATGGTGGTGGTACAACGATAATAGTCCATTTGAAAATTATAAATTGAACACATCTGAAACATACAACATGACTAATCACACTTTATTTAAAGCCCTTTTCACACTATTATAGTTATTGTGCTATTTCTAGCATGGCAGTTTGTAAGTTATTTACTAGCCTCTAGTTTCGTGTGAATTACAAAAAATACACTATTTTAAGGAATCAAGAATTTCGCTACCGAGTACATGGTTTTCGTTATTAGAACATGTCCTATTTTTCGCACCATTTATGAGCATAGAAATATTAACGGCCAATCAGATTACAGAAAATGTTATCAATGTTATCACGACTGTATCGAGTGTTCTGTACTTCATATTTGTTTAAAAAAATGTTTTATTTATTCGGCTTCTTTTTGTACATTAAACTTATAATAATTTATAGTAAATATATTTTCTAAAAGTTTGTATAATAATAATAAATAATTATGCCTAGTATATTTTCTAGTGTATGGTACATATATGGTGTGAATATATTTTAGTTATAATTCTAGAATACTAAATTAAATGCAATATTTTTTTGACAAAACCTTTTTGTGGCTTATTCAAATCTTGTCCTAAAAGTTAAATTGTTTTAACACGACAAAATGTTGTTCAATTTACACGTTTAATGGTCGAAACCGTTTTTTCTCTCTCAAAAATTGGCATTGCCCTTAGTGGACCTCAGGTACAGTTATAAAATATTGGTGTCATGACCATTCAAAAGTAAACACAATATTATATGCCAAAATCAATAAAATATCGGTGTCCCCGAGAATGAGACTATATGTTATCTATTGTTTATAATTTAATAAACCATATTACACAATTAACAGACGTCATTAACGTAGGTACTAATGATTAGTATATGTAAATCAGTTTGTATGTAAATTCAGAATATTAACAAAACGGTATTAAATTTAAATAATAAACCCGAGAACGCTTTTTTTTGTCAGGTCACAACAGCTGCACACAGCATTGAAAGCAATAAAACTAATAACCATACCATACATATTATCAGAAAGGCAGATTTACTATTATTTATCTAACGTCTGTGTTGGCCTATATGTAGCCACGTCAGAAACCGTTTTAGATTTATTTTTTTTGTATCTAATTCCATACAATTACTACATTTAGGTTTGGTATATTTAGATTATCTATGTTGACCACGAGTTTGATCTTGCGATGATTCAACACACTAACAAGATATAAACTATTAATAAGTATTGCCGTTTTATACTAATATATAAATACTGATATACACTATTCATCAAAAATTTTATTTTCACACAGATTCATTACATTATTATAATCATTTCGATTAGAATTAAATTAAATTATAATTAATAAAGTATAAAACAACTGCTGACCGTGCTATTATATTACTGTTATCGTTTTGAACGTTAAGATAAACAAAAATATGAATTTCGACACACCGTATTATAATATGTTTGACTCGTCCGGACACGTGTATGCCCATCATATGTACGTTATAAAACCAATGGTATTATTTAACCCATATTGAACTTGCAAAACGATCGGCATAATATTGACCTAAAGTACATGGAAATTATGATATTATATGACTTGAAGTATAGAAATTGAAACAATTTATATTTTGTACAAGTCCAACAAACAAACAATTCTTAATTCTAGAGTCGATAAACGTATCAATTCTATTGTTTAGATTAAAAGCCAAATTATTTTATATTAATTGCGAATCGAGTTCAACCACATTAAGATCCAACGTAGTTTTTTTCATAGGATATCAGAGAATATTAGCTTTGGCAAAATTATTCAAAACGAAAAAAAAAACACTTAAACATGTGTAACTGTAGAGAAACTATGTCGGGCTTGTATTGCAACAAAGGCGAAAACGCAAAAATGAGAAGAATAACCGTAATTTGTTTTAAATTATGTCGCAATAATTATTGTTGGGTTTCCGTCGTTTCTGTGCGAGCAGAAAAATACAAATAAGAAGACGAAAAATAACGCTGTGTACATAATACGCCTGACCGTGTATTCGTCTAGTTTTTTTTTTTTTTTGTGAAAAAAATACAAGAGAATATTTTGCGGGCATGGCGGGAGGTTAAATAAAATAAAAAAGTATATTCGCGGGACCTGCGAAAAGATAAATGCCTTGTGGAAGTCGTTAAAGAATAATGTCCTCCGGTTCGGCGTTTGTCGGAGACGGAAAGCCATCGCGGCAATATGACCCCCTCGGCGATTTTTCATATCCTTTTATATTCAAATAATATATATTCGGCCATAAATATGGCTGTTTAACAGTAAAAAATGATAATTCTCCGGTCGGCCCTCCGCCGCGACCGCAAGGTTTTTGTGTCGTCTAGAATTTCGCATTTTTATTGTTCCGACGTCTCCGAGAGAGCTTTCTTTTTTTCGCTCTCTCTCTCTTTCTGTTTGTTGTAATATTTTCTTCTTATTTTTGTTAAGGCGAAATTTCGTGTTTTTTCTCTCGTTATTTTATTATTTTCTTTTCCACCATCCCTGTTGTTTACTAGTGTTTTATATACGCCTCGGTTTCGCGCATACATTACATATTATTATTGCGTCCAATAACGCGCGGATACGGCCAAGCATAATATATAATATTTTTATCCTTGTACACATTTTTTATTATGACCGTACGCGAAACGTCTACCGCCGCGTTTAATTTTTTTATTTTTTCAAAGCTTTTTTTTCATTTTTTTTTATTATTATTAATATTTCTATATTGCGGCAACCGCCCGGGCCAACAGCGCGTGCACGTTTTATGCCGTTCGCATAATATGATAATAATAATAATATAGTCTTTTTTTGCGGAGACACAATTCTTTGCACATTTATATACATACATGTGCGGTGTATTCTTCTTCTAGATATATAAATGCTTTTATATCTCACTTCAAAACACAAAGATTTGTCATTTTTTTTTCTCTCCGAAAAAGAATAAACGCGACCACGGACCAACCGCTGCAAGATGAGTATATAACCTTTTCCATAAAGGCCATTTTTCTTGGCGTAGAATTTCCTTATGTGAGTATAATATTAATATGTTTTCATGTCGCATTTACTTAAAAGGTCATATTCCTCAGGTTCAGGGTTATATTCGTTGGTGCAACTATAGAGGAGTGCTAAGCAAGTTTAGATCTTCTGAAAACTGAAGAATTTCATTAAAAATTATAAAACTTACTCGGCAGGTGTGCCTGATTACTTTCTGACACTATTATAGAGTCTGAACGAATTTAGAAGGATTTGAACTCTCCTAGCCAGACAATCCGTCGATCACATCGTCATTAACGGACGGGTGTAATTAAATTCAATAACATTTTAATGGGTACAAAAATATTCAGTTTGTAATCAAAAGAAATTATTATGCTATTGAGCAATTATTGGAAGTATCGAAAGTTGAAGTAAGCGAACTCCTTAACTAACCATTAATCGCATAGTTTATAATGTTTAAACATTAAACACGGTTTAATATTATAGCTTTCGCCTTTCAGTATACATTTATGTTATTTTCCCACGCATTAACGCAAATCAATATGGGTTGCAAGCAGAGATTGTTAAAATAACGATCTCCCAATGGGCTCTATGGTAGCCCCACTGGTGTATTATGACGGATATAAAACGGTATTATTAAACTGCCCTGATACATAATGTATGAAATAATCCAGATGACCCTTCTAATATTATTGTTTTATTTAATAACGCGGTCCCCTCGTCGAGCATCTGTTCGCGATTTTCAAAAATTACTTTTTTTGATTAGAATACTTGCGCTGAGTGGCTGTACGATTTTTACAACGGACTAGATAATTTAATAATTAGATTACTATTTACTGCTATTGTAAATAGATCACACATGGCACATGAGGGCATATTGTTGTTTGGAGTATTAAATTACTTCATGATATTCTTATTTATTTAAAATTGTAAATTTATAACTCAGACAATTGGAATTTAATAATCCTTGTACAATTACACCACACGCGGTAGTAATTTTATTTTATAAAAATACCTAGTTTCATCTATTTACAACATCATAACAAATAAGATATTATTAGTCGTAATACTCATTTAATGTACTTTATACCTATACTACTTGATATTACTATAGTGTGGTGATGTTTTTTTTAAATTTTAGCTATTTCTATATTACAATTAAGGCAGAGTTCAAACTTTCAACCAATGTTGCACGTAATTGATC